TTTCCTTTCTTCTTTCCTTCCTTTCCTTCTCTTTTTTTCCCTTCCTTCCCTTTCTTCCTTCTCTTTTTATAACTTTTCTTCTTCTTTCTTCCCTTCCTTCCTTCCTTCCTTCCTTCCTTCCTTCCTTCCTTCCTTCTTCTTCCTTCCTTCCTTCCTTTTCCTTTTTTTTCTTCCTTCTTTTCTTTTTCTTTTTTTTTCCTTCTTCTTGCTCCTTCCTTCCTTCTCTTCTTTCTTTCCTCGCTCTGTCACCCAGGCTGGAGCAATCTCGGCTCACTGCAACCTCCACCTCACAGGTTCGCCAAATTCTCCTACCTCAGCCTCCCTAGCAGCTGGAATTACAGGAGCCCAAGCACTACACCCAGCTAATTTTTGTATTTTGAGTAGAGATGGGGTTTTGCCATGTTGGCCAGGCTGGTCTTGAACTCCTGACCTCAAATGATCCACCTGCCTCAGCCTCCCAAAGTGCTGAGATTACAGGTGTGAGCCACTGCACCCAACCTATCTATGCAAAAAACTTTAATCACAGGAAGTTAAAGAGTCAAGAGGAATGATATTCTAGGTGGGGAGAATAGCATTGGCAAAGGCCTGAAGGCCAAAACAACTGCAAGGAGTTCAGTCTGGCTGATGCAGAGAATGAGGGGAGAGGCTAAGAGAAGCAGGAGCAGTAGTAGGAGGAACTAAGAGAAGGAATCTTCACTGTGTCCTAAGGTTACTAGGACAAGGGAAGATTTATGAGCAGGGTGGGTAAAAAGTCACACCAAGGCTGGGTATGGTGGTTCATGCCCAGCACTTTCAGAGTCTGAGGTGAGAGAATCACTTAAGGCCAGGAGAGAATCACTTAAGGCCGGAGAATCACAAAGGCCAGCCTGGGCAACATAGCAAGACCTCCATCTCTACAAAAAAAGGTTTAAAAATTAGCTGAGCATGGTGGTGTGCACCTACAGTCCCAGAGACTCGAGATGCTGAGGTGGGAGGATTGCTTGAACCCAGGAGTTCAAGGCTGCAATGAGCTATAATCACAGCACTGCACTCCAGCTCCTGGCTACAGAGTGAGACCTTGTTTCAAAAAAGAAGGAAGGAAGGAAGGAAGGAAGGAAGGAAGGAAGGAAGGAAGGAAGGAAGGAAGGAAGGAAGGAAGGGAAGGAAGGACAGTTACACCAGCTGTTGACTTGGAGATTAACTCAATGGAGATGGGCAATGAGTGACCCCCCACAACTCCCAGCTCTCCACTATGACCTTGAATCTGAGACTCAAATTTTCTGTCCCTTAGTTTCCCTGCCTGTAAAACAGACCAGCACCAACTTCAGAGTTGTTCAGGGGGCTCAATGAGGTATCCTGGTCAGGATACCAAGTTGGTAGGGCTTGGCATGGTCCCTGGCACTCAGCCAGCATGCAGTATCAGCTCATCACCTGAAGCTGCTTCTGAGATCTCACACACCCTTCCAGAGCCCAGCATGTTTGTATCTGGTGATGAGCTCCTGGGAGTGGTTATCTCTAGCCACCACATCTCATTCATTTAACCAGGAAGAGAGCTGATGTTTTAACAATCATCTTGTACGTGGATACTTCTGATCCTTAAAGGTAGCCATCTATTATATTGCTTTTTCAAGAGATTTTTAAAATAAGTGATTACAGTACACCCAGGACTTGCTGTTGAGGCCAGAATGATAACAATGAAAATAATGATAATTATAATGTCAAGCATTTAGCCACAGTCACCTTGTTAGTATACTGTTCTCAACACTTCACAAACATTAGAGCAGGGCTTCTCAATATTAACACTCCATTTTCTATCTAGAGTGCTCACTTGCACTTCTGCCATGGAATAACACAGCAAGAAGGCCCTTACCAGATGCCAGTACCATGCACTTGGACTTCCCAGCCTCCAGAACTGTGAGCCAAAATAAATCTTTTTTCTTTGTTAAAAAAGAAAAAAAAAAAAAAAGAGCAAAAAATACATATGTTAGCACTTAAGGACAGATGGTGCTTTGTTATTAAGGACTGACCTGCACATGGTAGCATCCTTGGCATCTACCCAAAAGATGCCAGTAGGACACCCTGCCCCAACCCCAGTTGTAACAACCAAAAAGATTTCCAGACATTGCCATTGTCCCCTTGGTGGCAACACTGTCCCCAGTTGAGAATCTTTGTTCCTTAGATTAAAATCCTTACAAAGTCATAAAAAGGAGATATTATTCCCATTTTATAGATAAGGAAACTGAGGCCCAGAGAGGTTGAGTAACTTTCCAAAAGTCACCAGAGTTAGTAAGTTTCAAGACTTGCACCCAGACAGTCCAATTCTGGTAACTGCATTCTGGTGTAAATTTATGTGTACCTACATGCATGTGTGTGAGAGAGGCAAAGAAGAACCTAATTTATATTCTCATTTCTTTAATTCAAGTTTTTAAAATTTAGAGTAGGCTATACAATCTCATGGTTCAATCTCAAAGATATATAGAATACTTTGTCTTTTTATCCTATTCACATTACCCAGTTCCTCATGTCACTCCCCCCACCACACACACAAATTGTCACTGTTTTCTGTTTCTTTATCCATTTACAAGCCAAAGCAAATATATATATTTTTTCTCCCTCATTTACACCAACAGTAACATATCATCTAGACTATTTGGCAGCTTGAACTCATATTTTTGCTTGGGTTTTTGTTGTTGTTGTTATTACTGATTTTCTTTTTTTCTTTTCTTTTTTTTTGAGATGGAGTCTTGCTCTGTTGCCCAGGCTGGAGTGCAGTGGCTCAATCTCGGCTCACTGCAAGCTCCGCCTCCCGGGTTCATGCCATTCTCCTGCCTCAGCCTCCCCAGTAGCTGGGACTACAGGCACTCGCCACCACGCCCGGCTAATTTTTGTATTTTTAGTAGAGACGGGGTTTCATCGTGTTAGCCAGGATGGTCTCGACCTCCTGACCTCGTGATCCACCCGCCTTGGCCCCCCAAAGTGCTGGGATTACAGGCATGAGCCACCGCGCCCAGCGTATTACTGGTTTTCTTTGAGAAAGGATCTCACTCTGTTGCCCAGGATGGAGCACAGCTGCACAATCATAGCTCACTGCAGCCTCCAGTTCCTGGGCTTAAGTGATCCCCCTGGCTCTGCCTCCCAAGTGGCTGGGACTACAAGCATGCACCACCATGCCTGGCTAATATTTTTCAATTGTTTTGTAGAGATAGGATTTTGCTATGTAGCCCTGGCTGTCATTTGTATCTTAAATGCTTTTCTCAGTGATTTTTTCCCACTCAGTTCATAGAGTTCATGAATTCTTCCTCATTCTTTGGCATAGCTATATTATTCCATTGTGTGGAAATAATGGTTCATTATTTATTTAATCAGTCCTCTATTGTTGAAGGGTTGGGTATGTCCAATCTTTTGCTATTGTAAATAAGGTGTGGTAAAAAACACTATGCACTAGTCATTTTGTTCTGTGAAAGTCTATCTATAGAACACGTTCCTTGACATTTAATTACAGGGTCAAAGGCTATAGGAATTTGTAGTTTTGAAAGACTTTGCCAGATTGCCCTCTATAGGGGTTGTACGAGCAAAGTGTGGGAGTTCCCATTGCCCTCAGCATCACCATAACAACAAATCATCAAACTTTTGGATCTTTGCTGAAAGGGTTATCTCAGTTTGTTTTAATTTACATTTCTCTTACGATGAGTAGAATTGAGCATTTTTCCTATGTCAAAAGACAGTTAAATTTTCTTTTCCATGAACTGCCTATTCATATGCTATGTGTATTTTTCTGTTGGGTTGCTGATATTTTTCTTATTGATTTCCAGGAGCTTTTTATATATTAGTGAAATGAGCTCTTCGTGACATCAGTTAGAAAGAGTTTCTCCTGGTTGTCATTGTTCTTTTGACTTTGTGAGTGATGGGATTGTTTTTAACCTTTCAGGTGTTTCTTTTCATTTTATATCCTTTTTTTTTTTTTTTTTTTTTTTTGGTCTTTTATGGCTAGAGCTCGTAGTCCTACCACACCACTCCAGTGAGAGAAAGAACAGGTTGGGTACCTGCAGGGATCCAGAACCAAACTCCAAGGGTTTGACTCCAAGTTCCAAGCAATATGGAAATTTAATGAGAGGAAGTGAGAGAAACTAAGGCAAGAGTTAGGCAATATAGTTTAGTGGCTGAGAATTTTGATTGCCTGCTTGTGGATCACAGTACTGCTGTTTACCACCTATGACATCCTGGAAAAATGTTTTAAATTTTCTGAGCCTCTGTTTCCTCATCTGTAAATTTGGCATAACAGTCATATCAGTCAGGGTTGAGGCAAGAAACAGATGGTCAACTCTAAGGGAGTAGTAAGGAGAGTTTAAGACAGGGACTATTTGCAGCAGAAGTGTAGGTGAGGCATAGGAAGAACAACATGGAATAATACAGCACCCAGGGGCTAACAACAGCAGGGAGCTGTCACCTCCCTCAGGCTAGAAGCCATAAGGAGCAAAGCAGATCCCAGAACCAGAAGACATTAGTAGTATATGGAGAGGGACACTCAACAGGAGCTGTGGGCTGGAACAAAAGGACCCAGCCAACTGTAGTACTAATCCCTTCAAACTTACTCCCCTGCTGCCCTCTCCTCTTCTGCCAATGTGCCCGCTGACAGAAACCAACCAGCAGCAAAAGGTAAGGGGACCCCAACAACACAGCTCAGAGAAGTCAGCCTTTCAGATAGCAGAGTGGAGCAGAGAAGGGTAGAAAACCAATTTTTGCAACATCCAGTATAAGCGTGTGCTTCATGGGATCAAGGAGAGGAATCAATGATTTGATACACATTCGGCACTTAGAACAGAGTCAGGCTTGTGGTGGGTGCTAGTGAATGTTCTCTGTTATTTCTACTCTACTTTTTTCATTATTGTCACCGTCATCAGCAACTCTTGATGCTCCACACTCACTTTCAGTGGCTTGGGAACGGTCACTTGCAGGGACAGCATTTCGCCTTTGGTCTCACTTGCTCCCCTTGTCTCCTCCTCCTTCCCTGCTCCTCCAAGGCACCCTGCTCACATCCTGCACCTGCTCTGTCTTCTCGGAGCTGCCCTTCTCGGCACAGCTGAACACCTTGACCGAAAGAGCCAGTGTCCACCTTCCTGTCCCCGGAAGTCTTGAAGGTATTCTCACCATGTCTTGGTTCCGAGGGTATGACGCCCAGCCAGCAGCCATGATATTCTCCCCGGAGGGCCTCCCAGGACCTGCTCACACTGGCCGGGAGATGCTGGGAACCCAAGGCAGCCTGGTCATTAGAAACGTGACGGCTCAGGACTCGGGCAGCTACACCGTTGTGCTGGAAACCAGCAGGGGACTCAGGAGTGCAACGAAGCAGATCCATGTCAAGAGTGAGTGGGGCCCCACAGTGGGAGGGACTGACTTCTCAGAAAGCAGACCCACAGGACCCCAGAAGAGCCCACAGGACACATTCTGTGCTGGTTATCCATTGCTCCCCATTAAACCACCCCAAAACTTAAAACGTCAATCACTTATCCGGCTGGACAGTTCTTGTGGTCAGCTGTTGAGGTGTCTGGGTGTTGGCTGATCGAGAATGACCTCCTTCATGTGCCTGGCCATGGACCAGCTGGTGGCTGGAGTGATGGGGGTGAGAGGGCCACATAGCCTCCCAACCTCCAGCAGGCTATCCTGGGTTTGTTCACTGAGCAATGGAACAGGAATAAGAGGTGAAGTTCCAAAACTCCTTCAGGCCCAGGCTCAAAACTGACCACCATTACTTCCATCACCTTCTATTGGCCAAAGCAAGTCACATGGCCAGCTCAGCTTCAACAGGAGGGAAAGAGGCCCCACCTCTTAAGGAGAGGAGTTGCAATGTGTTGTGGCTATTTTTTGTCATTGTGTTAGGTTGTTCTTGCATTGCTATAAAGACATACCTGAGACTGGGTTATTTATTAAAAAAAAGAAGACGACGTTTGATTGGCTCACGGTTCCACAGGTGGAAGCGTGGTGCCAGCATCTGCTCAGCTTCTAGGGAGGCCTCAGGGAGCTTTTTAATAATAGCGGAAGGCAAAGGAGGAGCAGGTGTCTCCCACGGTGAGAAGAGGAGCGAGAGAGAGAGAGAGTCAGAGAGGAAGTGCCACATTTTACAACAATCAGATCTCATGAGAATTCACTACCATGAGGACAGCACCAAGCCATGAGGGATCCACTCCTATGGCCCAAACAGCTTTACCCAGGCCCCACCACCAACATTGGGGATCGCATTTCAACATGAGGTTTCGGCAGGGATAAATATCCAAATTATACCAGCCAAACCTTGCAACAGACAATCATGAGATACGCATTCATCGTCACTTGGGAAAGGTAGAGAAGGTCTCTGGTAGCAGCCTTCAACCTCATCTATATTTTTATCACCTGGACTCAAACTTTCATATCTGAATTAGGAAAAGACAGCCCAGAGACTCTTAGTCAGCTTGGGCAAAATACTCTAGGCTTAATCAACAGAAACTTATTCCCTCAAGTTCTGAAGGATGGATTGCAAGATGAAGGTGTTGGCAGGTTTCATCTCCTCTGAGGCCTCTCTTTTTTGACTTGCAGAAGGGTGCCTTCTCATCCTGTCCTTGCATGGTCTTTCTTCTGTGTGTGCACATCCCTGGTGTCTCTCTGTGTGTCCAAACTTCCTCTTCCTATAAGGACACTGGTCAGGTTGGATTAGGGCCCATCCTAACAACTTCATTTTAACCTAATCACCTCGTTAAAGACCTTATCTCCAAATACAGTCACATTCTGAGGTACTAGGGGTTAGGGTTTCAACATATATGTTTGGTGGGGGACTCAATTCAGTTCATAACAGAAATCAACTTAGTTAGGGTTCAGATTCTGATGCTCTAACAAAGACTCAAAAAGTTCCAGTGTTGGCCGGGCGCGGTGGCTCATGCCTGTAATCCCAGCACTTTGGGAAGCTGAGGCGGGCGGATCACGAGGTCAGGAGTTCAAGAACAGTCTGACCAACATGGTGAAACCCCATATTTATTAAAAATACAAAAATTAGCCACGCATAGTGGCAGGCGCCTGTAATCCTAGCTACTCAGGAGACTGAGGAAGGAGAATCGCTTGAACCCAGGAGTCGGAGTCTGCAGTGAGCCAAGACCACGCCACTGCACTTCAACCTGGGCGACAGAGCAAGACTCCGTCTCAACAAAAAAAAAAAAAAAAAAAAAAAAGGCCAGTGTCTGAAGCAAGATGGGAGTTTATTTCTCTTTCCCGTAACAGTCTGGCATAAGCAGTTTAAGGATGATGCAGTGGCTCCATGGTGCTAAGATGTAGGGTTCTTCGAGTTTTTCTATTATTGACAAGGTATTGTCACATCTATGGGATCCAAGGTGACTCCCATCACGTCTGCATTGCAACCAACATACCAGAGAGAGGGGAAAGGAGGTGAAAATGCCTTCCTTTTAAGGCCCAGCATAGTGGCTGCTCACATCCCATTGGCTGGAATCTAGTCACTTGGTCATACTTAGTTGCAAGAGGAGTTAAAAATGTAGTCTTTATTCCAGGCCGCCATCTCCCTAGCTAGAATGTGGGGTTTTGTGACTAAATGAAGAAGGCGAGAAGAGATGTTGGCAGCCATCCAGCACATTCTACCACAGGTTGCTAGTGGAGAATGCCTTTGGGGCTCACCCCTATCCCCACCCCTCGGAATCCCAAAGGGTTTAGCCAAGTATTCCTTCCAACCCAATGCATCTGGCCTCTAGATCATCCAGGGAGGCCACTCACTAGTCAGCCCACTCCACGTGCGCTCCCATCTCCACAGCAGGCACATGAATGGGTGTGTAGAAAAGGGGTTCATTCCCTAAGAACAGTGATATGGGCTAGGAGGGCTTGGACTTTGGGGGAAGGCTTGGGGGAGTGGGAACATTTTGCTATCCATTTATTCAACAAGTCATCAGCACCTACCCTGTACTGGGCATTGCTGGGGACACAATAGGGACTGAGACAGCCCTGGCCTCTTCCTCTCATCCTTGCACTCGCAGTCCAGGGAGGGAGACAGACTGATCCCCAGATAGTGATGACCCAGAGTTGGCAGGACTGGATGGAACCCACAGGACTGTAGGAGCCCAGAGAGCACCTGGCCCCTTTGAGGAGTCTGAGAGGACTTCCTGGAGGAGGGAGAATTCTGCAGTAAACAACATAGAGTTGATCTCTCCCACCATGGAATTCTCAGTCCATTATGGGAGACAGACACTAAATGAACAATTCCATCAGAAAGTTTATCTGCAGGAGCAACATTCAAAATTATATTTGAAGCAAAATAGAAGTTAGTTGATAGGGCCGGGCGCGGTGGCTCACGCTTGTAATCCCAGCACTTTGGGAAGCCGAGGCAGGCGGATCACTTGACGCCAGGAGTTTGAGACCAGTCTGTCCAACATGGCGAAACCCATCTCTGATAAAAACACAAAAAATTAAGCCAGGTACGGTGGCACACACCTACCTGTATTTCCAGGTACTTGAGAGACTGAGGCAGAAGAATTGCTTTGACCCAGGAGGCAGAAGTTGCAGTGAGCCGAGATTGTGGCACTGCATTCCAGCCTGGGCAACAGAGCGAGACGCCACCTCAAAAAAATTAAAAATAAAAAAAATAGTGAAGGGAGCCAGTTCACTGGGCATTCTTGACGTGTCAGACACTGAATGATTTCCCAGCAGCCTAAGAAGCAGCAGCTCTGAGCAGCAACCCAGATGGTTGTGCAGCAACCATTGCACAGGGGGAAACTGAGGCTCAGAGAGGTGATGTCAATGGCCTGTGGTCATGTGACGAGCAAAGGACTGAGCAAAGGTCGTATGACAACTCATTGATCCTGGGGCCTCTCTACTTCCGTGCCGCCTCTCCAGCCCGGCAACATCTCCATGGTACAATGTAAAGGTGGGGATCGCGCTTAGAACCCCGCTTCTGCACAGAGGGGTTTTTACTCCCCTCCCAGAGAATTTATGGACCGCTGAGGTTCATCCATCTGTATTTCTGTGATTTGAAGGCTAATTTTTTTTTTTTTTTTTTTTTTTTTTTTTTTTTGTGAGATGGAGTCTTGCTCTGTCACCGAGGCTGGAGGAGTGAAGTGGTGTGATCTCAGCTCACTACAACATCTGCCACCCGGGTTCAAGCGAGTCTCCTGCCTCAGCCTCCTGCGTGGCTGGGATTACAGGCATGCGCCAACACGCCCGGCTAATTTTTGCATTTTTAGTAGAGACAGGGTTTCACCATGTTGGCCAGGCTGGTCTCGAATTCCTGACCTCAGGTGATCCACCTGCCTTGGCCTCTCAAAGTGCTGGGATTGCAGGCATGAGCCACCGTGCCTGACCTGAAGGCTAATTCTTCTAAAGGCCTAGCTCCACACCTTTGCCTATGCCATTTTCAGCCCGAAGCGCCCTTTCTAAAGAGAGAGGTTGCAGGAACTCATGCTCGGTGGTGCAGGCTCTGCAGCCAGAACTCCCTGGATCAAATCCCTCTGCCATCCATTATGCCCCTGAGTCCCTGCAAAAAAGTAACTTTCTGTTTCCCCATCTGTGCAATGAGGTCATAGCAGAACCTACCTCATAGGTTGACTGTGAGGAGTGAGTTAATCTGTGCTAAATGCCTACAACAATGCCTGACAAACAGCAAGTAAATGTTAGCCCTGGCCAGGTGCTATGGCTCACACCTGTAATCCCAGCAGTTTGGGAGGCTGAAGTGAGAGGATTGCTTGAGCTCAGAAGTTTGAGACCAGCCTGGGCAACATGATGAGACCCCCGCCCCCCGCCCCCATCTCAGCAAAGAATTTAAAAATTAGCCAAGCCTGGTGATGTGCGCCCATAGTCCCAGGCACACAGGAGGCTGATATGGAAAGATCCCTTGAGTCCGGGAGGTTGAGGCTGCAGTGAGCTGTAACCTTGCCACTGCACTCCAGCCTGGGGGACACAGCAAGACCCTGTCTCAAAAAGAAAAAAATAATAGCCCTGTTTGTTTCAAAGGACTTGATTTCTTTGAGCCTTCCTTTTCTCATCAAAATGGGAATAAGGCCAGGCACAGTGGCTTACACCTTTAACCCAAGCACTTTGGGAGGACAAGGTGGGTAGATCACTTGAGCCCAGGAGTTCAAGACCAGACTGGGCAACAAGGTAAGACCCCATCTCTACAAAAAATAGCTGGGCGTAGTGGTGCACGTCTATAATCCCAACTACTCTGAAGAAACCTTTGAGCCCAGGAAGTGGAGGTTGCAGTAAGCTATGATTGCACCACCGCACTCCAGCCTGGGTGACAGAACAAGACCCTGTCTCAAAAAAAAGAAAGAAAGAAAGAAAGAAAAAAGGAATAATCATAATTACATCATAGGATTGTTGTGAGGATTAAATGAATACATCCAGTGGCTTTCGTAAGAAATGCTTTTCACATCATGCCCAGTATATCCCACAACTAACCAAAAGGAAAGTGTAATGACAGTTATTACTATGAGCAATGCTCTCTGATGTTTTCTATAATATTTCTTTCCATGTTTTAAATGTTGATCACAGTCTACTAAATGATTTAGACACCTGGGCATGGGTCTTGCTTGCAGTATAACAAGCCATGGATTAACATGTGTGCTTGGCTCATGGTAAGAGCCCAATCCATGGCCAGGTGTGGTGGCTCATGCCTGTAATCCCAGCACCTTGGGAGGCCGAGGCGGGTGGATCACCTGAGGTCAGAAGTTTGAGACCAGCCTGGCCAACATGGCGAAACCCCATCCCTACTAAAAACACTAAAATTAGCTGGATGTGGTGGCGGATGCCTATAATCCAGCTATAGGGAGGCAGAGGCAGGAGAATTGCTTGAACCCGGGGGGCAGAGGTTGCAGTGAGCCGAGATCACGCCACTTCACTCCAGCCTGGATGAAAAAGCAAAACTCCGTTTCGAGAAAAAAAAACAAAAAACAAAAAAAAAACAGCCCAATCCAGGTGGCTATTACACTGCCTCTTGTTCGTACACCTAGTGGGCTCTTCCTCCTCCTTCAAGGCTTAACTCAGATACCTCCTCCAGGAAGCCATCCGTGAGCTCTCTGGTTGTGCTAAAGTTCTTGTCACTTAGAACATTGCATTGAAATCAGAAATCAGCTCTAAGTGGAAGTTCCCAGTACGGTCTGGGAGTTCAAATCCCAGATGTGTCCCTACTTGACCACGAACCCTGGCCCTAATGACCCCCAAACTTCAGAGCCTTTCACCTGAAAATGCGGACAAGAAGTGGGGACCTCTTGGGTCACCTCCTCACTGGGCTGTTTCCACTCCTGCAAACTTAAAGTCAAGTTCTCACATGATAGTCAGAGTGAGCCTGTTCAAACCTAAGCCAACTCACGTCCCTCCACTGTGCAGTCCTCCCATGGGTCCCACCGCAATCAGAGTCAGAAGCAGAGTCCTCACCCTAGCCCAGGAAACCCCAGCATGATCTGCTCCCATTATCTCTCTGACTTCTTCTCCCAGCCCTCTCTCCCTTTCCCTCCTCTCTATGCCCACCTTGGCTCACACCCACCTCAGGGCCTTTTACTTGCTGTTCCCTCTGCCTGGAACATTTTTTTCTTAGGAATCCACATGGCTCCTTCCTCTGCTTCTTCAGGACTCTGCTCAAACATTACTTCCTCAAAGAGGCCCTCCTTGACCCACTTTACCTGAAACGGGCTTACCCAACACCACAGCCCTGTGCAGTTTTTCTCACAGCACTTACAACCACTATATGTATTTGTCTGTTTGTTGACCCTCTCCTCACTCAATCGTTAAGTTTAATGAGGGCAGCGACTGTATCTGTTTAATCAATGCTGAGCCCCCAAGTCCTAGAGTCTTAGAGTCCTAGATTTGGTTCACCCAGATCCAGCGGCGAGGATTCAAGGTCAGATAGTCTGTTTGGGAGGTGCAAGAAACTGGAGAGTGAGGAAGTTACACAGAGAAGCCAGGAAATAATAAAAGCTCTGTTCCCAAGCTGGTTACTATGGGCAACTGGAGCACAGTCCCATTGGGGAACTCAGGGGCCTGGTGTGGAACGACTCTGCAGAGTCATCCCACATGACAGCGAGGGAGCTGGGGAATTTATACACCAACCTGTCCCGGCATTGTGGAGGGCTGCTCCCTGGTTTGCTCATTCCCCAGCACTTCCAGCCTGCTGCCTCCATGGGCAGAGTAGGCTTTGGCCAGCAGTGAAAGTCCTTAGGCAACGGGATGCAGGTGCTGGCCATTGGAAGTGGGAAGAGCAAGGGGTTGGATTGGGGGCACTGGGCACAGACCAGGCTCTTCAAACACATTCATTGGTGAATTAATGAATGAATGAACACACGAAAGAATGGACATCTCTATGGTGGGCAGAAGAAATGCCCAGCTTTTCTGAGTGGTGTCCACTCTTGTGGCCTTCTTCCCTGTTTGCACAGATAGCCTCCAACTAATGCCACTGAAGACATTCCCAGCCGCTATCCGGGGAGTCATCCAGAGTGAGCTCAACTATTCTGTGATCCTGCAGTGGGTGGTGACAATGGACCCTGAGCCCGTGCTGAGCTGGACCTTCAATGGGGTGCCCTGTGGGATGGGAGAGAAGCTGTTCATCTGACGGCTGTCCTGGGAACAGCTGGGCACCTACATGTGCATAGCCACGAACAGCAAGAAACAGCTGGTCTCTGAGCCTGTGACCATCTCGCTGCCAGGTGAGTCCCCCATCCCATGCCATCCCACCCAAGAGCCTTGCACCCTCTCCAGCCTGTGGTAGCCTCTCTGATTCCATTGAGCCATCTTCTATGACCAGTCCCTGTGACACCCTTTATAGGCAAAATGTCATTCCAATGTTCCGTCCACCTGGCGGACTGTGCATTATTAGGCCTTCTTCTTCTTCTTTCTTCTTTCTTCTTTCTTCTTCTTCTTCTTCTACTTCTTCTTCTCTTTTCTTCTTCTTCCTTTTCTTCTTCTTCTTCCTCTTCCTCTTCTTCTTATTTCCTTTTCTTTCTTCTTCTTCTTTTTTCTCCTCCTCCTCTTCCTTCTCCTCCTCTTCTTCTTTATTCTTTATTCTTTCCTTTTCTTCTTTCTTCTTCTTCTTCCTTCTTTCTTCTCCTCCTCCTCCTTTTCCTTCTCCTCCTCCTCCTCCTCTTCTTCTTCGTCTTCGTCGTCGTCTTCTTTATTCAGTGGGCTGTGATCGCACCACTGCACACCAGCCTGAGTGACAGAGGATGACTGTCTCAAAAAATTTTAAAAATCACCATTGTCATCATCTAAGGAGTGGTTCAAAGCAATGGCTTTGGAATTTGAATCCCTGGCTGTGTGACTCTGACCCAGTGCCTTGACTTCTCTGTGCCTCAGTTTCCTCATCTATAGCACTGGGAAGATAATAGTGCCTACCCCAGAGTGTGGTTGTGAGTATCCAATGAGATAAGCAGGTGAATAGCTTAAAACAATAATGTCTAGCACTATTGAACACTAATGAGTGCTCAATAACCATGAGCCAATATCACTGTTGCAATTAGCATTGTCATTATTAATTGTACCTATTACCATATACAGTCAGTATATGGAGCAATCAAAATGACAGCAAGTTGCTGAGATCAGAGAAGTAGTTTGGGACCCGGTCAAAACTCAGTTCAGTCCCTGTTCCCATGCCTTCCTGGCTGCGTAACTTAGGGCATGTGACTTACCCTCTCTGAGCCCCAGTTTCCTCATGTGTATAATGGGGGTAATCCTATATACCTCCGCAGGGTTGTTATAAGGAATGAAAACAAGGGGTGACTGAGTTTGGCAGAACAACTGTCAGGCAGCAGGTGCCTTGAATAGCAGCTGTTATGGTGAATATTGTTTTTAGTGTGTTATTCATGGAGGGACACATGGTGATATGGTTTGGCTGTGTCCCCACCCAAATCTCATCCTGAATTGTAGCTCTCATAATCCCCATGTGTCATGAGAGGGACCTGGTAGGAGGTAACTGAATCATGGGGTCGAGTTTTTCCCATGCTGTTCTCATGATAGTCAATAAGTTTCACGAGTTCTGATGGTTTTACAAAGGGCAGTTCCCCTGCACACATTCTCTTGCCTGTTGCCATGTAAGACATGCCTTTGCTCCTCCTTCACCTTCTGCCATGATTGTGAGGCCTCCCCAACCATGTGGAACTGGGAGTCCATTAAGCCTCCTTTTTAATAAAGTACCCAGTCTTGGGTATTTCTTCATAGCAGTACGAAAATGGACTACCATGGCTTGGAGTGAACTAGAGGTATGCAGAGGAACTGGCCAGGAGAGAAGAGAGGGAGGGTATTTGGGGTAGCAAAGAATGCATGAGTCAAGGTTCAGAGCTGGGGCATGGAAATGGAAGGGGTGATGGGAATCTCAGCTTGGCTGGGTCCCAGAGAACCACCTCACCTCCCTGGCCAGGGTCCAGTGGGAGCTTCAGGACTGATGCACTGGGGGGGTAAATGTAAATCTTATAGCACCTAGTGACCCTGATATTCATTGAGAAGGACAACACTTCCAAGACCCCCTTTGCTCATTCATCAGCTGCCCAGGAAATGTTTATGAGCACTTGCTGTGTGGCCAGCCCATGCTGGGCAGTGCTGGGAACACTCTGGTGACCAAGACAGCTGCAGCCCCGCCTTCACAAGACTCACAGTCCAGTGTTCACAGACAGTGATCACCAGAGTGGGCAGGGCTAGGATGGGGGAGCCCAGAGAGCTATGGGACTCAGCCTAGGAGTTAAGGAGGGTTTCCTGGAAGAAGGGACATCTGAGCTGGTACCATAATACACAAGAATTATGCAAGCTGGCCAGGTACAGTGGCTCATTCCTGTAATCTCAGCACTTTGGGAGGTTGAGGCGAGTGGATCACTTGAGGCTAGGAGTTTGAGACCAGGCTGGCCAACATGGTGAAACCCCGAATCTACTAAAAATACAAAAATTAGCTGGGAATGGTGGCACGTGCCTGTAATCCCAGCTACCATGGGGGCTGAGACACAAGAATTACTGGAACCCAGGAGGTGGAGGTTGCAGTGAGCTAAGATTGTGCCACTGCACTCCAGCCTGGTGACAGAGGGAGACTCTGTCTCAAAAAAAAAAAAAAAAAAAAAAAAAGGAATTATGCAAGCCAAGAGAGAGAAATGGCATTCCAGAGAGAAAGAGTGCAGCGTGGACAGGCCTGGAGGCAAGAGAGAAAGAAAGGGATGAGCTTGGAAAGTTGAGTGGAGTCCAGGGTTGCACGGCTATAAAGGCAGGGCAATGAGAGAGATGAGGCTGGCCAGGTGGCAGGGCCTTGAAAGCTAAGGTGAGAAACTGACTTCTGCCCCAGGGTGCTGGGGAGACACAGCAGGGTTCTGAGCAGGGGAGGAACAGTGTCAGGTGCGCGCTTTAGAAAGATCCTCCTGGCTTCCATGTGGTAGGAAGGTGGATGGGCGCTGGACTGGGGCAGGAGAGCAGGGAGGAGAGGGGACCGGAGACCTGGAGGATGGAAGAGAAGGATGGATTGAAGAGACACTTGGGAGGGGGAATGGCAGAAGGAGGGGGTGCGCAGGGAGGGCGGGCAGATGGCTCCTCCAATCTCACCCCTCCTTGGTCCCCAGAACCCATCACGCAGCCCACAGAAGCAGAGCCCATGGAGCCGGACCCCACTCTGTCCCTGTCAGGAGGCTCTGCCATTGGGCTCCTTGTGGCTGGGATCCTGGGAGCTGGGACACTGATTGGAAGCGTGTGTTTCACCATCATCCAGAGCCTAAGGTACCTCCATCCCTCACCCCTGTCCACTGGGCAACATCCACTCAACCCTCATGAGACACAGAGCTGGCTCAACAAGGAAACAGAGATGAAACCAACACCCCCATCTGGGAGGGTGATAGGGACCCCTGAGGAGCGCATCTGACTCATTGGTTTCCAAAATGGGATCACAGCAACAAAGAGATAGAAGAGGACACTAGAGCTGGGCTGTCTGGCTTCAATTCCCAGCTCCATAACTTACTAGCAGTGAGGCTGTGGGCAAGCCACTCCCCTTCTCTGTGCCTCAGTTTGCCCATCTGCAAAATGGGGATGATAATAACAGCATTTGACCCTCTGGGTTGCTGTGAGTGAATTTTTCTTTCGCTTTTTTTTTTTTTTGAGATGGAGTCTCACTCTGTCGCCCAGGCTGGAGTGCAGTGAAGCGATCTCAGATCACTGCAACCTCTGCTTGCCAGGTTCAAGCGATTCTCCTGCCTCAGCCTCCTGAGTAGCTGGGATTACAGGTGTGCACCACCACACCCGGCTGATTTTTGTATTTTTAGTAGAGACGGGGTTTCACCATGTTGGTCAGGCTAGTCTCAAACTCCTGACCTCATGATCTGCCTGCCTCAGCCTCCCAAAGTTCTGGGATTACAGGCATGAGCCACCACACCCGTCCAGTGAGCGAATATTTCTAAGAAACTTAAAGCAGTGCCTGGAATGTAGTAAGTACTATGTTCGTCCTCTCTATACATATCTGCAGAGTGACCGCTCTGTGCCAGGCACTGAGGATACCAAGGGAAGAAACAGCAGAAAGTCCCTGCCCTCAAGAAACTTGCATTCTGGTCGGGGATATCATCAAGAAACACAATGAATGAGTGAAATATAGATAGTGTATTGGATGGGCCAGGTGCAGTGGCTCACACCTGTAATCCCAGCACTTTGGGACGCCAAGGTGGGCGGATCACTTGAGCCCAGGAGTTTGAGACCAGCCTGGGCAACATGACAAGACATCTTGTCATCTCTCTCAAAAATATAAAAATTAGCCAGGCATGGTGGCATGCACTTATAGTCCCAGCTACTCAGGAGGCTATGATGGGAGGATCACTGGAGCCCAAGGAAGTCAAGACTGCAGTGAGCTAAGATCAAGTCACTGCACTCCACACTGAGCACAGAGTGAGACCCTGTCTCAAAAAAGTAATAATAATAAATTTTTTTAAAAAGATAGTATGTTGGATGAGTGCTAAGGAGAGGAGTGAGGCTGGGAAGCAGGACAAAGATTGTGGAGTGGGGTGGCATTTAACGAGTCAGGGAAGGCCTCCCTGGGACGGTAGCATTTGAGCAAAGGAAGGGAGTGGGGAGCCATGTGAGGGTCTGGAAGAATGGCATATCCAGCAGAGGGAACAGCAAGTGCAAAGGCCCTGAGGCAGGATTGCCTGGCATGTTCAGGAAATAGTGAGGAGCCCAAGGTGGCCACAGTAGTGTGAAGAATGGGCAGAGAAGTAGGATGTGGGTCAGAGAGGGAGTGGGGAGGCAGGGGAAGGCAGCTAGACCCTTGTATAAGGCCTTTCTCCCTCTTTTTGTTTTTGTCATCAGTTGTTCATCTGTATGAAATCATAACTGAGCATTTTCAAGTAACTGTGTGGAATGACCATGTATAAAGAATCAGAAATCACATTAATAGGCATATGAAAAGCAGTCAATACCTCAATTACAGCTACAAGCTCCACTTTCTAAGCTGAAGTATAGGGCATCTGGAAAACTTTACTTTTCTAGCCAAAATAAGAAGCTTTACCATTACTAGACCCATCTGTAAAACAATGAAACAACAGCAGGCTGCAGGTTGTTTACTGTAGGAATTGTATTTTTTTTTTTTTTTTTTTTTTTAGACGGAGTCTTGCTCTGTCACCCAGGCTGGAGTGCAGTGGCCGGATCTCAGCTCACTGCAAGCTCCGCCTCCCGGGTTCACGCCATTCTCCTGCCTCAGCCTCCCGAGTAGCTGGGACTACAGGCGTCCGCCACCTCGCCCGGCTAGTTTTTTGTATTTTTTAGTAGAGACGGGGTTTCACCATGTTAACCAGGATGGTCTCGATCTCCTGACCTCGTGATCCGCCCGTCTCGGCCTCCCAAAGTGCTGGGATTACAGGCTTGAGCCACTGCGCCCGGCTACTGTAGGAATTGTAAATGCAAACTGTTCAGTCTTGCTCAGCTAAGGGGATAGTGAAAAAACAGTCTGTTAAATCTATAACTATTAAAGGCCAATTTTAAGTCCTCTAAAGCCTCCAGTTTCTCTTTACTCAGCGGCCATTGTTCTATCCAAATTGGCTTATCTGTTAACCATTTTAAAGGTATAGGTTCTGGAAGCTTAACAATGACCACCATCAAAAATGATATTCTAATCTTTGGTGGGAACTTTGTCTCTCCATTTGAAGTGGTTCTTTCAAAACTTGCAAGTTTTTTTCTAGCCTCATACTAGGGATATCCCCCATTTCATACATTATATGTTGATTTTGAGGGATATGTAATTGTTCTGGAATTAGAACTTGTGCTCCCCATTGTTGTAACAAATCTCTCCCCCATAAATTTATAGGTACAGAAGTTGTAATTGGTTGAATAGTCCCAAGGTGTCCATTGGGCTCTTCACAATGCAAAATATAGCTACTTTGATATACTTCAGGGGCTTTACCAACTCCAACTATGTTAAATTGAGCAAGTTGAATTGGCCATGTGGACAGCCAGTGCTGTAGAGAAATGACTGAAATGTCTGCTCCTGTATCTGCCAAACCTTACAATTTCTTGCCCTGAATAGTTATTTCACAGGTAGGACGTTTATCAGTAATTTGATTTACCCAATAAGCTGCTTTGCCTTGTTTATTTGTGCTTCCAAATCCTCCTGTTGGTTTCATTTCACTTTTCCCCGTTCCCACATATGGCACAATCAGGAGCTGTGTTATGCGCTCTCCTGGCTCCGCTTTCCAGGGAACAGAAGTAGATATAACAATTTGAATTTCCCCATGGTAATCTGAATCAATGACTCCTGTATGTATTTGTATCCCTTTTAAACTTAAAATAGACCTTCCTAAAAGTAATCCTATCATCCCTGCTGGCAAGAGTCCACAGACTCCTGTTGGGACCTTTTGTGGGGGTTCCCCAGACAGAAGGCTCACAGCTTTTGTGCAGCATAAATCTACTGTGGCACTACCTGCTGTGGCAGGGGACAGACATTGTACAGGGGTGAGGGAATGGCCTGAGCTGGAAATGCCCCAGTTTGGAACGGGGCCCAGGACTGGCCCCTCATGGTGTTTCCTGAAATCGGGTTCCCATCTTTATCAAACTTAGTGTGACATTGATTAGCCCAATGCTTTTCTTTTTTACATTTTGGACATATTTCCGGATCAGCAGTTTTCTTTTTTCCCCTATCTAGCGGCCTGACTTGCTGATTATTTCTACATTTTTTTTAGCATTAATAGCTTGTTTAAATTATTTGAGTAATTTAATTACTCAAAAAGGAAAAGGCTCAAATGTAGCTATAATATTTCCCTGTTGGTCTGGGGGATGTATTCTAACAGGGAACTGCCAAGCCTCTAAATCCCCTTCTCTTCTAGCTTGCTGGATTCCTGCCTAAATAGAACTGACAGCAGTTGCTTGAGATGCTGGTCGAACAGTCACTGGGGCAACTACTTTTTGCCCAGTGTCCTCTGGAAAAGAAAGATCCGGAGGGTCAGGCCACTGCTTAGGGGCAGTTTTGGGGCCAGTTTATGGCCAGATTTTGGGGGGCCTTTTACCAACAGAATCGCTTGAACCTGGGAGGCAGAGGTTGCAGTGAGCCGAAATAGTGCCACTGCACTCCAGCCTGGGCAACAGAGCCTGCTCCTGTATCTACCAAACCTTTCCATTTCTTTCCCTGAATAGTTATTTCACAAGTAAGACGTTTATTAGTAATTTGCTTTACGCAATAAGCTGCTTTGCCTTGTTTATTTGTGCTTCCAAATCCTCTTAAAAAAAAAAAGAAAAAAGGAAAAAAAAAAAAACCCAGGAATATGATTATACTTCCCTCCAAAGATAGGAGTGAGGATTAAGTAAAATGGTGGGAGTCATGAGCTATTAACAGTGCCTGGAATGTGATGAGCCTTCAATAAACCTCAATGATGATGATTGTATTAGTTTGCTCCAGCTGCTATAACAAAACGCCACAGACTGGGGGGCTTAAACAACAAAAATTTATTTTCTTACAGTTCTGGAGGCTGGAAGTCCAAGATCAAGGTGGCAGCCAATTTTATGTCCCATAGCGACCCTCTCCATGGCTTGCAGAAGGCCACCTTCTCGCTGTGTCCTCACGTGACCTTTTCTCTATGTTCATCCCTGGTGTCTCTTCCTCTTCTTATAGGGACACCAGTCTTATTGGATCAGGATCCCACTCTTATGATCTCATTTAATCTTATTGTGTCTGAAGAATCTATTTCCAAATATAGTCACATTGGAGTGTTAGGAGTACATATTAATTTGGGGAGCAGATAATAATTCAGTTGATGATTCTCATTCTCTCTCTCTTTGTCTCTCTCTCTCTCCACTGCAGGACTGACTGGCAGAGAATAGGAATATGCAGCTGAAATGTGGGCAACTCTCCTGTCAGCTTAAGAGGTAATACCAGGAAGGGTGTGAAGGAAATCCTAGGTTTGGGAATAGAATGAGGTTCCTGGGCAGAGTCCATTTGTGACTTCCTCCCTCCTGGTTCCCTGATCATTTGTCTGTGAGATGTTCCCCTCCTGTGGAGAGCTCCAGGAGCTGCTTTTCTCTCCTTTTGCCAACTGCCAGCACCCCATCTGCCCAGCTCATCAAATTCCTGGAAGCCACCTAAACAAGCACTCTATATTTCATAAACCTCTTGGGCTCCATGCAAAAGAAACTCACTGAAGTAGCTCAGGAAAAACTAAAATGAACAGTTTCAT